AGACCTCCCTTTAGTGAAAACTGCCTAGGACCGAAACCGACGGACCTGGACCCGCAAAGATGACGGCCGCGACGCCCTCACGCGAACCGAAAACGGCCAATTCCTTAATCGACGTGTCAGGGTAGGAGGTCTATCAACCTCCGATTCTCGGAGCTGCCTGCAGCGCTCTGAGAGCGCGTTCCCAGAACGCTCTCTCCGGCACGAAGGGGTTTTATCGTCGTCCTGCGGCCCCGTCCGGCCAAGGCCTTCTCTCTGGCCCTCTCCGGGAGGGGGCCGCCTCTCAGCGTCGCCACGGCCTGGCTTCGCCTCGAGGCTTCCTGGTCGGCGCGCACCCCAGGGAGAGGCCGCCTCGGGCTCGCTCTGCCGTGCCGCCAGCTGTTGCTGTCTCATCATTATCCTCCTCCTGTCTCATCATTATCCTCCTCCTCCTCCTGCTGCTCCTCCTCCTCCTCCTCCTCTTCTTCTTCTTATTCTTATTCTTATTATTATTCGTCTTATTCTTCTTCTTATTATTATTCTTCTTCGTTTTTTTTCTTCTTATTATTCTTCTTATTAATCTTCTTCTTATTATTATTATTATTATTCTTCTCCTTCTTATTTTTCTGATTCCTCTTCTTCTTATTATTATGCTTCTTATCATTCTTATTATTATTGTTATTATTCTTATTATTATTATTATTATTCGTCTTCTTATGCTTATTCTTCGTATTCTTAGTAGTAGTATTATTATTACTATTATTATTATTGTTCCTCTTCTTCCTCTTCTTCCTCCTCCTCCTCCTCCTCCTCCTCCTCCTCCTCCTCCTCCTCCTCCTCTGGGGGGGGGGGGGGGCAGGCTTCGACCCCCAGAGCCCAGACCTGCCCGCGCCGTGGAGGCACCGCAGCTGTGCTATGGCTCGGCGCGGACTCTCTGCGTGTTTTTTTTGCTTGGCGGGTGGCCCGGCAGGAGCCGCACACGGGCTGGTCCCGCCGAGGCGCGGAGGGGCAGCGGCATACGGGAAGGGCTCGGAGCACCGCGGGAGAGGTCTCGACCTCCGAGGGGTGCGGGCCACGAGGCGCAGGCGGGGGGTCGAAGGGGCCGGACCAAGGATGGCCCCCCTGACCTCAGGGCTCGACCCAAACAGTGTTTTTCGTTTTCGTGTTGTTTTCGTCTTCCCTCGCTTTTGTCTCGAATCCGCCTTTTTCCGCCAAACGAAGTCGAAACGAAAACGGCCCACGAAATCGCCAGAAACACCGTTTAGGTCCAGCCCTGCCTGACCTCCATGATGTGCAGGCAGGCGATCGATTGGACCAGACCCACGATCACCCCCCCCCGACCTCAGGCGTGCTGGCGTGATCAGGACAGCATTGGTCTCGTCGTGTTCGGCGCTTTGGGGGGCCTCGCCGGGACCCCGGGGAACAGGGCCGGGGCTGCAGGGAGCGGACGCCGCAAGGATCGGCGCGGGAGGCGCCGCCACGGGGGGCCCAGAACCGCTCCAGAAAGTCCGCACAGACCCCCCAACGTACAGGACGCCGATGCTACAAGTGATGTGTATGCTGATGCCGACTCCTTATTATTATTAGTATTATTATGATTATTACTATTATTATTTGTATTATTATTATTACTATTATTATTCGTATTATTATTAATATTAGTATTATTAATATTATTAATATTATTATTATTAATATTATTTTTATCATTATTATTAATACTATTACGATTAATAATAATAATAATAGTAGTAGTAGTCTTATTAGTATTCTTATCATTAGTATTCCTATTATTATTAGTATTATTATTATTATTATTAGTATTGATATTGATATTAGTATTCTTATTATTACTACTACTAGTATAAGTATTATTAGTAGTAGTATTATTCGTATTATTATGATTATTATTAGTATTATTATTAGTACGATTAGTAGTAGTAGCAGTAGTATTAGTATTATTATTAGCATTATTATCATTATTATTACTACTATGATTATCATAATTAGTCTTATCATTATTGGTATTATTAATTGTAGTATTAGTATTAGTATTAGTATTATTATTACTATTAGTATTAGTATTAGTATTAGTAGTAGCAGCAGTACTATTAATATTATTATTAGTAATAGTAGTAGTGGTATTCGTCTTATTATGTTTCGTATTACTAAGATTAGTATTAGTAGTGGTCGTACGATTATTAGTATGATTAGTTTTATGCCTCTTATAATTCATCGTATTATTCTTATTATGAGTAGTATTATAACTAATACTCTTAGTATCATTATTGTCATTACTATTCTTATTATTATGCTTACGATTATTCTTATGATTAGTATTGTCTTTATTGTTCTATGTTGGTTATCCGCGAAAGCTTACGCGCATGGTGCTACCACAAGAGACTGAGGGGCAACGATAGGGGGGGCTGGCATAGGGGGGGATGCATCGACCTGGGATCGGCGATGCATCGCCGAGAGGTCGGAGATGGGCCCCCGACAGTGAATCCGCACCTTCCTGGGCGGGCTGGGGCTATCAGACCCCTATCGGCGATCAATGAGCGATTGGGGGTCGATGCGTCCCCCCTATGCCTATCCCCCCTATGCCTATCAGACCCCTATGCCTATCAGACCCCATATGCCTATCCCCCCCTATGCCTATCCCCCTATGCCTATCAGACCCCTATCGGCGATCAATGGGCGAGTGGGGGTCGATGCGTCCCCCCCTGCGCCCATTCCCCCCCTATCGTTGCCCCCGAGAGCCACCGAATCGGGAACGAAGGGCCTCTTCCGGCTACTGAGGGCCTCGGGCACGAACGGGCTGCCCGGCCCAAGACCAGAGCCGCCCCCCGAGCTCGAGCCCGACGCGGTCCTTGCCTCAGTGCCTTGGCTGCATGCATGCTGAGACCCCCGACGTCGTGGTGTCTGTCCCAGCCATCCTGTGCTCTTGGGTTCTCGCTCTGAAGAGACGGCGCCCCGCATCTCCTCTCCTCCTCTCCTCCTCCCCCCTCCCTCCTCCCGATCCCTCCCTCTGCCCTGCGCACGCCGATTTCGACACACCTCTCACACGCTTCGCGGCCATGGGGAGGTCCACCTAAGGCCCCAGAGGCACCGTTCACATGTGGGCGGCACACAAATTTCGGCACACCCCTCACACGTTTCGTGGCCCCATAAAAATTATGCCTAAGGCCATAGAGGCACCGTCCATATGTGGGCGGCACGTCCGTTTCACAACACCTCTCACACGCTTCGTGGCTCCATAGGGAGCTCTACCTAAAGCCCCCGAGGTATCAACCACATGTGGGCGGCACAACCGTTTCACAACACCTCTCACATGCTTCGTGGCCCCATAGGGAGCTCTACCTGAAGCCCCCGAGGCACCGACCACATGTGGGCGGCACGTCCGTTTCACAACACCTCTCACACGCTTCGTGGCCCCACAGGGAGCTCTACCTAAAGCCCCCGAGGCACCGACCACAAGTGAGCGTCAGATTTGTTTCGGAACACCCCTCAAACGTTTCGTGGTCCCACGGGGAGCTCAGCCACAGGCTCCCAAAGGCACCGTCCACATGTGGGCGTCACGCCCGTTTCGGCACACCCCTCAAACACTTCGTGGCCCGAAAAGGGGCTCCACCGAAGGCCCCCAGAGGCACCGTCCACATGTGGACGCCACGCCAGTTTCGGCACACCCCTCAGACGCTTCGTGGCCCCATGAAAAAATCCGCCTAAGGCCCCAGGGGCGCCGCCGACGTGTGGACGTCACGCCCGATTCGGCACAGCCCTCATATGCTTCGTGGCCCCACATGTGGGCGTCACGCCTGCTTCGGCACACCCGTCACACGCTCTGTAGCCCTGTGAAAAGCTCCGCCGAAGGCCCCCAGAGGCACCGTCCATATGTGGACGCCACGCCTGTTTCGGCACACCCCTCGCACGCTTCGTGACCCAAAAGGGGGCTCCACCGGAGGCCCCAGAGGCACCGCGGGCGTCACACCCGTTTCGGCACACCCCTCGCACGCTCGGTGGCCCCACGGGGAGCTCCGCAGACGGCCCCAGAGGCACCGTCCACATGTGGGCGTCACGTCCGTTTCGGCACACCCCGCCCATGTTTCGTGGCCCGAAAGGGGGCCTCAACCGAAGGCCGCGGTGACAGGAATCGCATGCGTCCCCAGGATCATTTTGGCACACCCTTCACTCGTTTCGTGGCCAAACGATCTCCCCCTCCGTCGTCCCTGGCCGTGCGGTACGTCTGGGTTCCATCGCCAGGCTGACTGCACACCGTGGACCCCCAGAAGTCTCGACCCATTCCCGGGGCCTGGCGAGGGCCCCGAGAGGCCGAAAATAGCAAAGGGGCATTTGCCAACCCCCGTTCTTTGACAACCCCCGAGAGGTTCTTGGCCAGGCCCCGTTCTTTCACAACCCCAAGGGCCGACAGACCCCCAGGGGCCCCCAGTTCGGACGCCCGACATGGGACGGAAAAAATGGACACAACGCCCAAGAACAAATGCTGTCCAACACCGAACAGCGGCCGCTGTTGGGCCGAGGGGCTTCTTGTCTTCAATGAACCACGTCCCCGCGACGGCGCGGACGGCGAGCCCTGTTCAAAAGGAACAGGAACTGCTGTTGGGCATCTTGCCGTACCCAGTTCCATCGTCCCTGATGGGCATGTTTTCCGCCACCACCACCAGAAGTTGCAAGGGGAGGGGGTCCTCCTTCTCCACCTCCTCCTCCTCCTCCTCCTCCTCCTCCGCCTCCTCCTCCTCCTCTTCATTCTCCTCCTCATCATCATCCTCCTCAGCCTCCTTATCCTCATCCTCCTCGTCCTCCTCCTCCTCCTCCTCCTCCTCGTCCTCCTCCTCCTCCTCCTCCTCCTCCTCCTCCTCCTCCTCCTCCTCCTCCTTCCCCCCCTCCAACTCATGGTGGTGATGATGGAAAACAAGCCCATCAGTCCCGACGCAGAGGCCGTCCTCCCGCCGTGATCTGGTTCACGGTGCGAGCACGCTGCGGGGCGATGCCACACCCTTCGGCTCCTGGGCCCCTGCAGGGCCGGCGGCTGCCGCGGCGAGTCCGCGAGGCCGCCCTCCTCGCCTGGCCACGCCGCCGCGGCGCCCTCCGCGCGGCCGGGGGCGCCGCGCGCACGGTCGCGCCAGGTCCCCGCGCGGCGCGGGTCGCCCGCCTCCTCGTAGGCGCGCGCAATGACCTCGCAGGAGGGGCCGAGGAGGAGGAGGAGGAGGTGGAGGAGGAGGAGGAGGAGCATCGGATCGGGCCGCACCGGGTCGGGGTCGGGGTCGGGTCAGGTCTGTCGCGCCGGCACGCATGGCAGCCCTGATCGGAGGGCTGGAGAGCCAGACGGCGGGTCGGATCGAGCCCCGCGAGCTCGAGGCCGCCACGGATCGATCGAGGCGGAACGGGTCCTGCCTCGTACGCCCACTCCAGAGACACGGTCGTGGTCTCCTCCTCCGAAGCGCTGCGGCGCGCGCCCAGGGGGATATTCCGCGAGAGCGTCGCCAGGGTGAAGTTGTCGGGGTGGAACCCCGACTGGATCATGCGCTGCAGCCACTGCTCTGTGTCCACCTGCCTGCCGCCCGTGAGGCTCGCGTGTATCATGGTGTTGAACGTGATGTCGTTGGTACCCACGTTGCGCCGCCGCATCCGCGACTCCCATTCGACGGCGCGCTTGTAGGCTCCTCTGCGGGCAAAGGCGTGCAGCAGCGTGTTGAAGCACACGACGTTGGGGGTTATGTTCTGAGAGACCATCTGCCGCATCCAGTGCTCCGCCCTCAGCGCGTTGCCTGCCTTCGCGGCCACGTAGATCATCGAGCTGAAGGTGATCACGTCTGCAAGGCAGCCTGCGTCGGGTCTCGACCTGAACGGTACTTTTGCGATTTCGAGGACCGTTGTCGTTCCGATCTCGTTGTGCGACCAAGGCGGGAGTAAGGCCACACGGGGGAAAACGAAAACGAAACAAAAACAGAAAACACCGGTTAGGTCGAGCCCTGGCCTGCGTCTTTCATGGCATAGAACCACGACTCCGCTACCGACAGGTCGCCAGAGTTGATGCATACCTGAATGAGGCTGTTGTATGTCTTCTGGTTGGGCAATATGTCTCGAGACAGCATCGTCCTGAGGAACTTCTCGGCCTTCTGCTGCATGCCAGCCTTCGCGCATGCGTTGATGAGGGAGTTGAACACCACCTCGTCCGGCAAGATCCCCGCCTCGCTCATCCTGTCTGCCCACAATTCGGCACGCCGAACGTCGCCGACCTTGGCGTAGGCGCCTATGACTGTGCCGTAGCTGATGCGGTTGGGCCTCATTCTGAAAGCCAACAGATTGTGAAACCACCACTCCGCGCGCTCCGCATCGCGACCCTGGGCGCAGGCGTTCACCATCGTGTTAAAGGTCACGATGTTCGGCGTGAGGCCGGCGGCTTGCATGACCTGCCAATACCGCTCGGCGGCGCCTATGTCGCCAATCCTCGCGTGCGTGTTGATCACGGTGTTGATCATGCCCCGGTCCAGCTCGTGGCCATTGCGCTGCAGATGGTCTAGACACCACGTCGCCGCCTGAGGGCAGTTCATGGTGGCGCTCTGGCGCATCACCATCAGGTAGAACGCCCTGGTTGCGGCGTGGCTGAAACCCTGCCCCTGCACGAGGTCGTGCACCAAGCGGTCGGCGGCGGCGGTTCTCGAGGCGGCGACGCTTCTCACGACCAGCTCCGCCATGGCCACCGCGTCCTGGGTGTAGGAGGAGCTGCCCGTCTGCTGGGGGGTGCCTGGCTGGCCACCGCCACTCCAGCCCCCGCGGGGCGGATGGGGGCGGCGGCCTCCGCCGACTCCGCCGGACGGCTCGGCCCTCCTGCGGTCTGGAGCCCGGCCCGAAGCCCGAGGGTAGCCTGCCATAGCAAGCAGCACGCTGGGACTGAAGCGCCGGTGTGGGGCGGCAGCGGGGTGCGGGAGTGGAGCGCAGGGAGAGGGACGGAGAGCTCATCGGCCAGACTCGCAGTCAGAGGACCTGAAACAAAACGGCTACGGGGTGGCCTGCGCTGCCTTCTCCCAGATCGGCGGTGTGATGGTTTGAATTGCTGGGCCTTGCCTGGAACTCGGTTTGCATCGCTGCTCTGTGCTTTGAGCCGCATTGCCACTGTTGCGTTCTTACTGGCATTCGCTGTTCCTTCCGCTGCATTCAATTGTGCGGCGCAACGGTTGAAGGTTCCTCTGCCTTGCTCTGGGCAGAAAGGGGTGGGTTTCGTTGAGTGGCTTCGCGTCTGCTTGGATCTTGGCTGTATGCTACATACAGTGTTGATTTCAGGGTCAGTTGGCGTTGCGACTGGTTTTCTGTGTATACCAGCGTGGACCCCGCGATCACTGTCAAGTGGCGTTTCACAGGAACGGCGGGGGTGGAGGCGCGTGGCCTGCTGTGCGCAGGCCCGCCGGACACAATGATGGGCCTTGGATCTTCGACAAAGACGGTGGGGGCCGACATGTTTCCCGACGTGTGTGTGTTGTCACGTTCGCAGGCGCACCTGACGCACTCTGCACGTGCCCCGAACGTGGCGCACCTGGCGCGGCTGGAGTGCGCGGTACACCTGGCGCACTCGGGGCACGTGGCGCATCTGGCGCACCAGGCGTGCCGGGCACGCTCGGACCCCAGGGGTGCCTGACACGCTTGGCGCTCCTGGCACGCGTGGCGCACTTCGCCCAAGCGTCGCGCACCTGGGGTCGGCTTTGGTTCCCAATAGCTGCCTATTCAATGACGACCGCCGAACATGGTCAGGCTCGGGTGCTACTTATGTGTTGGAGAGCGGGTGGGAGTGAGCTAGACGGCTTGCGGGCGTGTGGGTAGCTTGACCTCTTCCCCTACCACCTCCCCTGGACCTGGGCAGGGGGACTCGCCATGGGTTGGAGCGTCCAAGATGGCCCAAGATGGCTCCAAGAGGTCCTCAGAGAGCCCAAGATGGCCGCCAAGATCGCTCAAGATAGCAGAACATGGCTCAAGATAGCTTACAACATGCCTCCAAGAGACCCCAAGAAGGCCTCAAGACGGATCCAAGTGCTTCTGGTGACCCCTCAGGACCTCCCCAAGAAGCCAAAATCCTTCAAAAGCCTAAAGAAAACCTATGATTGTTGCCTTCTCGCCTGTTCGCTTCCGATGCGCTCTGGAGGCCTCAAGATGGCCCTAAGTTGGCCCAAGAGAGCTCCAAGAAGGGCCCAAGAGGCTCCAAAGACTGCCCCAAGAGCGCCGAAGATCGCCCCAAGAGGGCCACTGGAGTGCCCGAAGAGTCTATTTTGATGGCCCTGGAGGGGGAAGGCCAATCGAGGAGCCCCCCTCCTTTGATCGATGGCCTCCAAGATGGCCCGAGGAGGCGCTCCATAGCTCCCAAGAGGGCCCCAAGAGAGCCCCAAGAGGGCCCCTATGAGGGCCCCAAGGCGCCCCAAAAAAGCCCCAAGAGGATCCCAAGACCCCCCAAAGAGCCCCAAGAGGGCCCCAAGATGCCCTAAGAGCCCCGAGAAGACCCCACTATCCCCCAGTACGACCTCGTAGCTCCAAGAAGGCCTCCGATGCTCCAAGATAGCCTCCAAGATGGCTCTACACCCTCCTTCCTCTCCTCTCCTTGCACGCTCTGCTCCACTATATGTGTGCCTTCTCTCCTTTTCCCGTTAGCTTTAAGTCGGGCATGTCCCCCTACAGGCGGACGTTGCATGAAAAAAACACTTTGTTGTAACTACTACGTTTTAACCACTACTGAAGACTCCTCCTGTAGAGGGACAGGCCCGACTTCACGTCAGCTCTCGTCGGCAAGGGCTCCCGCACGAGCCGGCGGGGACCCGCGAGAAGCGCAGGCCAACCACTGCGAGGGCACGCAGGGCGCCTGAGAGAGAACTGCGTGCGCGGGGGCAGCGCCTTCGACTCTCAAAAAACACGCTGCTCTCTCAGACTCTTGGAAGCCAAATTCGACTGTCATATACGTATATATAATAAAAACAAAATTGTAAATGAAACAATAGAACAACAACAAAAACAAAAAACTAAAAACGGAACGGACCCTGGGACACGCAAATGGATAGATAAATAGACGCAAGTCCTGGGATTCCCCACATTCGTCCCACTCCTTCTGGGTTTTTGTCTTCCCCCCCACTTCTTACGTTCTCCCATTTTTCCAAGGAATCAATGATGAATTATGTCTGTGTGTTTTCTCCCGTCTGAAAAACGCTGTTCTCTCCGGCCGACTTGAGAATAGCGCCGAATGAGGTGCGACCGAAACCTGCCATGGCCCCGTGGGCCTCGGCAGCGCTTCGGCGACTTGCCACCGAGCCCCCTCTCCTGCGAGCCTGGCGCGGGCGCAACAGCCCCCCTGGCACTGCGGGGGCACCCCGCGGCTGCAGCGGCCCGCCACCCCGACCCCGACGCCCAGCCTCCCACGCGGAGGGCCAAGCCCGGGGTCGCAGAGACGCCCGCCAGCCGCCGGCCGCCTTCCTCGGGGGAGGGGGCGACTCCGCGCGGAGGAAGCCCGGACGGAGACCGAGCACTCCGTGTGGATTTACGCCGCACGGACTCGGCACCCTCCGAGTTTCCTCGCTTCCTGGGTCGCCGAGCGCTGCGCTGGCCGCTTCGTGTCGCGCGGTGCGTCGTGGCCTCGGCGCTCCCGCGCCGACCTCTTGGAGAGGAGCGGAGCTCCTGACCGGGCCGCGAGGCGCGAAGCGCGCGAGTATCTGTAGGATCCTGAGCCTCGTTCAACCGACCCCTATCCGCATGGGCGTGGCACGGGCCAGGCCGATATACCCCCCGAAGTGGAAAGTAGGCCGTGTCCTCTGGGCGATCAGAGGTATATCCCCCACTGGGGTGCTAAGATGTTGGAGGTCTGTACAGGGCTGGCGATGGGGATGAGGGTCAGTCAAACGATGCCGGGCTCCGCACCCGCCATCCTCCCGACCCCAAAGCCACCGCCGCCGGCGGCGCGGCGGGAACGTGACGGTGACGGTGTGCCAGTGCGGGTTGTAGGTGGGCAGCCTGCACCGATGGCGGCGCAAAAGGGGACTCGACCAGAGGAAATAGCAGTGGCGGCATGCACCTATCAACACTCGGAGGTCCGCACAGAATTCTCGGGTCGGCGCCGCAGGCCCCCCCCCCTCCCTGGGCGCGCGAAGCGCGAAGAGGGCGGCGCCGGAGGCGCCCCCGTCCAGCGCCGATCCAAGATCCAGGAAGGCCTCGTGGAGCGTCGAAAGTGTCTGTCTATGCAAGTGCTTCCTCTTCTTCGGCGCCTTGCCCTCCTCCCCCGTCGGGGGAGGCCAAGAAGAGGGGGGCGTCCAACTCGCCATCGCTCGGACGTCCATTCCCTGTGGTTTTTGTTGGTTTCGTGCGTGGCTTTTTCGCCAAGTGATCAAGAATGCTCCTCGATGGTCCTCGCCGAAGGAAAAATGCACACGTCCGAGCGATGCCAAGCCAGGGGGGGGGGCGCAAATCATGGCTGGCGGCACGCGGAGCGCGCCAGGGGCGGCGCCGGAGGCGCCCCCCGGGGGTGTCCAGCGCCGAGCCGAGGAGGCCGCGCGGAGCTGCGAAGGTGCAGACACTCGTGAGAGTCTGTCTGCGTCGCTAGAATCGGGGATGGACAGACCCCCTTTAGTAAAACGTGGTTTAGTGAAAACGACCTGAGGCCCAAACCTGGCGGGCGCAAGCCTGGAAAATAACGGCCACGGCGCCATCTCGAGAACCGAAAACGGACAATTCACTAATCGACGTGTCACTGTTGGGGGTTCTGTCCAACCTCGATAGAACCCCCTCCCAGCCGCCTGCCCGCCCCGGCCGTCTCTCGCCCCAGCCGTCTCGCCGCCCCCCCTGCGCCTCGACAGGGCTGCGCGGCGCGCGAGGCCAGCCTGGAATCCTCACGTAAGTCCTCCTCTTTCTGTCTGCTCCCTCCGGTAGTGGGTGTTGAAGGCGAGCGGGCTGCACAACGCCTAGCCGCCCACGCCCAGCCGCCCTCGCGCGAAGCGCGAGAAAGCAGTCAAGGTGTGGAAGAATCAGGCCACGCAAGGCCTAGCCGGAGTCAAAAAACATGGAAGCCCCCCAAAGACAACTAGAAAGTCAAACCAACTCAACCTATCCCTTCCTCCCTCATCATCTTCCTCCAGCGGGCGGGGATACATCAAGGTGATCCTGTTGGTGTTGGGCGCCAGCCACACCTTTCCCGCAGCAGAGGCCGGGTGGGGCGCGGGCGCCAGGGGACGAGGAGGGAGGAAGGGGGGGAGGGAGCGGGGTGGGAGAAAAGAGGGCAGCAGACAAGGGAGCACGGAGGAGGTTTCAAGGGGGCAGTGGGTTTATCGGGGAGGGGTGTCTGGGGTGTTTCGAAGCTCTGGGATCTCGTTGGAGGAGGGAAAGGGAGTTAAGGACAAGAGGAGGAGCAGGAGAAGAAAGGGAGGGGAGGAGGAAGGGGGGAGGGAGGCGGGAAGATGCGGGAGGAAGGAGCAGAGGAGGAGAGGAAGAGGAGGAGGAGGATGAGAAGGAGGGAGGGAGGAAGTAGGCAGGAGTGACAAGAGACGAGGGATGAAGGTAGCAGGAGGGAGGACGCAGCAGGTGGAAGTGGAGGAAGGGAGGGAGGGCGGCAGGAGGAGGGCAGCGCTGCGCCTTGGCTCTGGCCGTCCGGGCCAGCGCGAGGCCAGCTTGAGGCCCTTTTTGGCGGCGAGGGAGAGGGGTAAGTGAAAGAGGACGGGCCTTCTCAGAAGGCTCGGAAGTCCCCCGGCCTTCTGAAAAGTTGTCTAAGCCTTCCCCGAAGACACAGAAAACATCTCAGAAGGCACGAGGGCTTCTGAGAAGCCCCGCCGCCTTCTAAAAAGGCCTTCTCCTTCTCATTTCTCCTCTCGTTCGCCGCCGATTGAGGCCCTTTGTCGGCGCCCCACGAGCCACC